CAGCAGAACAAGTGTTAGGAGAATAAAGGAGAACATTGGGGACAGCTCCTTAATAGGCAAAAATAGTAATTTGTATTATGTAGCTTCTGGTGAACTCCAGCTGTTTTCAGGTATGTGAGTAGCTGGACTCCAATGGTGGACTGAGCAGAGGGAAAAACTGACTGAATAGTTGATTTGGGATTAGGAGGGGGCTGAAGGATATATAAGCAGTTTTAGAGAATGTGGGATTGTTGAATATGCATAATTAATCCTCATGAAGATAGAGGAGGTAAGTATTACTTTTTTCCCATACATAGACTAGAGCACTAGAGCCAAATCTTATCTTCACTGAAGCCTCCCACAGTGTCATCCCTTTGCAGTGTGTAAACAGAACATGTTAAAGGACTCCAAGAAAGCCCCATGCATGGGCATGGTTTTGTAGGTGCTTGCACATGTGGTCTGGGAGCTGGAGCTCTTCTGGCTTACTGGATCGATGGGTTTTGTGGGTGCAGGACAGTGTTGCCCTTGACTAAAGCGAGCTGTTTGTTGTTTCCAGGAAGAGTGGGATCACAACAGCAGTGGGAGCGCAGGATCCCAGCCGGGATCGGGCTCCAGACGTGGGTCTGGATCCAGGTCTGGCAGCCACGGGAGAAGCAGCCAGTTCAGGCAATCGACCAAGGTATACCTGGTAGCGACGTGCTGAAGCTGTGTCCCTTGCTTGCTGTTTATTGGAGGCATCCTCCTAACAACGTGTTTTGTGTGTATGTCTACACATAGGGTGTGAGCGCATGTCAGTTATGACAGACACCTCAAGGACCTACTTAATTCACACATAATGTGTGACCTGGCTGCTGAGGGCTGTAGCTGTTCTTCAGCCTCAAAGAAGTCTGTTGAGGTGTGCTGAGTACCTTAATATTGGGAAAGAAGTCCCTAGTCAGCTGGTTTAGTGCAAAGCAATTTAGGTTTTTTTCTTTATTTGAAGTCTTGGAGTATTTTAATTTTGGGAAATTAAGATATGTCCGTAATTATTTTTTGGCAAGTCTTCGTTAGAAGTTGATATGTGAGTGGACACCACATAGATGGTGTTAAATGGTGACCTTGAGTCCAGCTGCTTTCCGTGGGAGCTGTCAGCAGGGCTAGATGGAGAATTACCTTCCCACTGTCCAAAATGCTGTAAGAATTTGGTTCTAGGTCCGTTCCTTGAACTCAAACCAGGGACCTTTTCTGCATGTTTTTAGTCAGCCTTTGTCCTCCTCTCTTCTTGGAGTTGCTCTACTTTTGCACACATGAGCGTGGGTTGTGCCAGAAGCGAAGGATGGACTCTGGGAGATTTGGGGCCAGTGGTCAATGTCCTGGTCCAATCATCCATCTCATCCATCCTGGAGAGCTTGAGGAAATAGTCTGTCCTCCTGAGCCACACTGTGGTGGGAGAGGACCTGCAGAACCGTGTTGCTGCTGGAAAGTGATGGTCCTTTCTGGGAGGAGCGAGACTCAACATATTCCTTTTTCTTTGAGCAGGGATAATAATGTCTTCCTCAAAATGTTTATATTTTTCTTATGAAAACTTGGCAGTTTTCAACAAGAAAACCTTTAATCAGAGCCTTTTCAGACAGTTTGGTATCTAGCTATCTTTTCTGTTTTCTACTAAAGTGCAGCCAGGCGTTGTAGGCAGCTGAGAAGGAGGAAAGGTGGGAGAATCTCATCGAAGGTAGAACTTAAAAATGCTTAAGTAGTAACACATGACACAGGATAATCCCTGTATTTATACCACGGACTCAGCCGACCACTTGGCGTTGTTCTACATTAATGCTAAGCACAGCAATGAGCTAATGCTGTTGCAATCGTGTGACGAAGAGCATGATTTTGTAGTGGTTTGCTGGAGGATGGTAATGAGGAGTGGCAAGAGGAACCGGTGGGATGCTGAGCTGGGCTTTCAAAAGCTGCTGCGTGCATGCAAATGCCGACTTTGTGGGGAATTTGCTGAAGCTGCATGCATGGGTAAACAGTCAGAGTCCACGCGGCCGGTGGCGTGGTCTGTCCCTGTGTTTGTGTGGGCAGCTACAGGAGTTGAGCACCGGTGGATGGAGATGTTGTGTGCTCACGGGAGCTGGAGGACAGAGGTTATGGACATGCATTTACACCATACTGGGTGCAGGATCGACTTTACCGGACCTCTGATCATTCTGGGTATTTGTGTCGTTCTCGTCAGTGTGTCTCTCAATCATCGTTCCTGGTGGCTTAATTAATTTTCAGCAGTACTAACCCCTTTGCGGTGCAAACGATTATCTAAAGCTGAGGGTTGGATCATTGGGAGCTTCAAGTTAAAACTGCTTATGGTTATAGTTTGCAGTCCTGGGGGAACTGGCAGCAAATCACTTGTTTTCTTAAATACCTGCGATGTTTTTTTTTGTCCCTGGACTTGACAATTCGCTTTTTTAAAGTGTTATTATTAAGTCTTGGTAGCATGCTGTGAGCATATTTTAGTAAGCGCCCTGCAGCGCAGGTTCACTTGGGCAGCAAGCATGGTCCCTGCCTTCCGAGTCGAGACAGGATCCGGTTATAAAGACAGGTCGTCAAAGACTGAAAGGATGTCTGGAAATGACCGTAGTGACTCATGACTTAATGACAAGTTGCATTATCGTTTGGCCCTGGTGCCGTCTTTATGGAGCCTGGCTAATGCTTGGAGCGTCTCCCAGAGGTTATGGGAACATCGTCTAGGAGGACCAGGAGTTGCAGCCCAGTTTGGGTGGGAGCATCTAACCGCTGCCTAGAAGCTTGCATCATCTGACCTCCTGCACCACCTGAGCCATGACTGCAATTTCCCCTAATTGCTGGGATTAGGAGCTGACCTGCCTGTGCTTACTGGTAGAGCACCGATGAGCTGATGTGCCGAGGAGATGCCGGGGAGCTGGGTGGGACAGCTCGTGCTGCCTCCGCTTATGCCGCAGATCAGGCGGTGCTGGTGCCAAGGCTCTCCCTCCACATCCAAACAGATTTCAAGCCGAGCATCGGACAGTAATTGCTAGATGCTTTACATCAGGGCTCAAGAAGGAGCTCTTCAGAAGCCCTGTACCGATCTGAATTTAGGCACCAATTTTAGCACACAAACTGTTGCATTAGGAATCTGCTTTTTCTTAAATTTTTGTTATTTAGTATCTTTGTTGCTGATTTGTCTCATCTTCATTGCAACTGGTTGCATGTTCCCGTTCTTTCTCCCTGAGCCCAAATGCTTTACTTTTAGGAAATCCTATTGTAGCTGGCTCATTGACGGATACTTAAAATATCCCATGTCCATAGGAAATGGAAAAAGAAATGGATCTGTCTGCAAGAAGAAGTATCTCTTCTTTGGGTCATAGCTATAAAGACCTGCACATATATTTTCATTATACTGCATGAGGGTGGTTAGAATTAGAAAACTAATTTATCTACCTCCTTGGTGGGAGAAAATCTTGCTTACATTTGCCTAAAATAAAAAGCACTGCCTCTATAACTGATGGTGCAAACTTTAATTTGTTTCTGTGCAGAGGCATGTTGACTTGCAGATCCCCGGAGGTTAAAATCGTAATCCATAGACCCCTTGGAGGAGGCAAAAAAGGGAGCAATGTGTCCGTGTTTGGAGTATCTGGTGTATAAATTAGTTGTTGTGCTGGGAATAGCTGTGAAGTCCGACCATCCGTAGCATACGCTGAGGACACACATTCTGTTCATTAGGAAAAGACTGCTCACTGCATGGGCAGACTGAGGTCTGGGACTTCAATAAGAAATAGTCACATTTTAATGAATTTTTAGTGTCAGTTGTTATTATTAATAATATTTGAAAATGGCTGAAATGATAGGATGGGGGATATATGGAAGCCACCTTGTCTAGTACTTGTTTCACTACAGTGGGACCATTTGAGCTGAAACACTTAAATAATCTGAATATGTGTAAGCGTATGAATAATCTGAATATGTGTAAGAAAAGTTGGGGGAAAATTGGTAATATGGGATTCCTTATATATAATGCGTTTACGTGTCCATCCCGTATGACTCTGAGTCAAGTCTGATTTCTTGAATAGTCCTGGCAAAATCCAACCTGCTTTACTTCTTCTCCTGTAAAGGGTGGAGAGGGCAGCCCTCTGTCTGAGGGGAGGACATGTGTAGGGTGATGACTATAAAGGGGCCATGAAGGATGGATGTGACGTCTTTGCTTTAGCTGCTCTTGCTTTGGGTTGCCAGTTTTGCCAAAAGCAGCTGCATGGCAAAATTCAAGGTGCTTTGCAGTTTGCTGGAGGTTTCTTATAATTCCCACGTGATTATACTGTGATGCTTTTGCTTCTCGAGGGAAGGTACCATCACCTTAATGTTGGCAGGACATGTACTAGAATAACCGTGTGTACTCGTTTGCTGGTGTGCGTAGCAGAGGTGGCACGGTGCAGGGTTCTGACATCCCCCGCCTGTTGCTAGAGCGAGGAGACATCATGCCACCATGATGGCTTTCCCCATCCTTACTGGTGACAGCAGGTGCTGGTAGCTGCTGGTGAAGAGTATCTCCATGCTTGGAGATGTTCAAAAACCATTTGGGTATGCTCCTGAGCAGCGGGTTTTAGGTGGCCCTCCCTGAGCAGGAGGGTTGGACCAGCTGAGCTTCAGAGGTCCCTTCCCACCTCAACTGGTCTGTGACTCTGAAGCTGGGTGTCTCCATGATTGGGATGTCAACCTGCCTGCTGGACCTTGGTAGGTCTTGGACGTTGTGGATGGTTGGGTAGGAGGACAGGGCTGGAGTCAGAGCTGAGCCTACGTGTTGTCTGCACCGTGTCGTCCACAGCTTTGTGTCCCCAAGGCTGAAACTGTGTCAGTCCTTGCCTTCACGGTGCGCTTTTGCAGTGGGCGAGGGGCATCTGCGTTGCAGTGAGGGTGGATTCACACAGGAGCAGCGAAGCCCACGCACAGAGCCAGGACACACTGGTGGCAGGAGAGGCTGTGCCAAGCTGTGCCGTGGTCCAGGTAGTGCCGCGTGCCTTCCGGCGAGTAACCGCCTTTCCCTCCCTCCTAGAATGGCAACAAGGAGAGCTCCCTTGACATGCTGGGCACGGACATCTGGGCTGCCAACACCTTCGACTCCTTCAGGTAAGCCAGTTTTAAAATGCTTTAAGAGAGAGTTAGATTGTGCTGCTCTCTTAGCCTTTGGCCACATGTCCATCCTGCAGGCACCCAGGCACCGGTGAGTCCCCTGCCAGTACTCACGTTGTTGCTCCTCCTCCTCCCCATCCCCGTTTACCCTGTGGCACTAAGCTCAATCAAGCTGCTTAAAGAATCCTACGTGCTTAGGAGAGGCCGCTGGATGGGTTTGCAGTCTAAACATCTGAAACCGGTACTGATACGATTACTGTAATCATCCGTGAGCTGCACAGGCAAGGCTTGAGGCAGCTCTGAGCTGCTGCTCCAGGATTTTACTCTTCCATTAATTGGAGGTGCGATCACGTGTTGGTTTCACAGCTGCTGGGAAGAGCTCTTCAGCTGCTGCTTCAGTGCAGGGAAAGTGGCGAAATATGGTTTCTGTCCAGTTTTACGCATTTCTCTGTGCCTGGAGCACTGCAGGAGTCTGCAGGGGCTGAGTTCCTACCTGGGACTTGCTCCAGGCCATTGGAGTGAGCAAGACCAGAGAGAACATCTCCATTGCATGGACCAGACCGCTACCTGTTGCAATACCCCCTTGATACAGAGAGCAAGTATAGTCAGCAAGGTGTGTGCTGCATCATGCTGCATCATACCTCAAAACTGGGGGTTTAGCTCAAGCAACAGGAGCTCAACATCTCCAAAAAACCAGAAGAAATGAAAAGAAATGTGATGCAGCAGTGTGAAGGTTGGAGGCCCGCATCCGTGTGCGCTGCGGCAGGGAGCGGTGCTTCCAGAACCACCAGCTCTCCTCATCTGCAGGCTCTGATGTGCCCTCGGCTCTTCAGCTCGGTGGTGTTTAGTTAGTAGTGAACTTACTTTCTTTGTTTTTCCCCATTTTTCTTTCCTAGTGGTGCGACGTGGGACTTGCAGCCTGAAAAATTAGATTTCACCCAGTTTCACAGGAAGCTGCGAAACACCTCCAAACACCCGTTGCCTCACATAGACAGAGAAGGGTGAGTGCTGTGTGTGCGATACCATGCTCTCCAGCAAGGTCTCTAGCTTCTCCTTCTCTGTATTTTGCATTACTTGTTAGAGTTCAGTCTTTAAACCACGTTGGATCCAAGTCCTCCTGGATCCAAGTCTTCTGGATTTAAACATCTCTGAATACTGGAGGAAAGATCCTGGCTTAGTGCTGATCCCGGTTACAGTTCCCACAACTGACAGGTTCTTCTCCCCAGCAAGACTTCAGGGAAGGAGGGAGCATCAGTGTGACGTGTGTAGATCCAAGCATTAATCCCCTCTCTGCTAGCTGTAAAATATCTGCTAGCTGTGAAAATATTAAACAGCTCCTTTTGGAGGTGACAGCCTCCAGGGCCTTCCACGGTATTGCTGGATTCCTCTTTGGTTGTTGGTTGGTCAAGCCAAATAAACGCATACTGGCACCAGGTGGCTCACCAGTGTTGCTCAGGTGGGCATCACCGTTTGCCTGCAGATTCTCTGCAGATTGAGAAACAGTCACAGTATGTTTTTGCCTCTCATTATCGTTCAGTCCCAGTGCTTAACACACTGGCAGTGCTATTCAGGGCTGCAGGCAGTATTACCTGTCCTGTTATCCCAAGTTATGACAAGGCTTCAACTCATCCCTGATGCAAATCACTGCAAATCTCTGCTAAAGAAAAAAATAGAGTAAGGACTCCACAGTCACATTTTATCCCATCCATTTTTTTTCCACTTTTTCCTAGTCATTTCCTGCCCACAGAGGAAGGAAAAAAATCAGAACGGGTCTAAAAGATAGGGTTGAGAAGATTGCAGGTGACTTCTCATTGCCATTTTGTATGTGGGGGTGGAAATCCTCTCTCAGAGAAGCGTTTCTGTTAGTAAGCTGCTTTGGCCAAAGTACAGGCCGATGCCATATGCATGGGTTGCACATCTTGTTTAGAAACACCAGGCTAGCAATCCCACCCCAGCCCAGGTCCAGCAGGAGGCTTCCGTATCGCATAGTGACGGGCAGACTCACACAACTGGATAAGGCTTTTTTTTCTGCACTGTGAGTATTTACTGCAGGTATATAAACAGCAAGTTTCAGAATATTTGGAACAACGTGACACTAAATTTCTAAGTTGTTAGAAAGCCTTGGTCATGTTTACTCCCATTTGTACAGATAGTTTTGAAAAATGAGGCAAAGGCCCTCTGTAAAATAAGATATAATGTGCTTCCCCTGTAAAATAAGATGTAAGGTGCTCCGTGGTTGATGGCACTTGCCAGATGATCCTACCAGTGACACCTGCTACGTATAGGGAGGATGCAGCAGGGTCTGCTCTGCGGTCTGCCTCCAGTTCCTGGTGTACTGTGAATGCCCAGGGTGCAAACAGGTAGAGAAGGCAGTATGGAGGTGAGGTATTTAATCAGTCCTAAATATTACAGTCGTAAAAATGGAATAAGAATTAGTGTATATGCAGATGGCAGATGCTGTCAGCACAAGCAGTGCATCTCCCAAAACACGGGTCATATAAGTAACCTGCACTAGAATAGAGGAAGCGCAGACAAAATTGGTTTTATTTTTTAATTTTTAAGTTGTCTCTGTTGTGCATTCGTCAGCTCTCCATGCCAAATCTGTGCTGAGCACAATTCAGCTTGCTGAACCTCCAAGAATCTCCACCTCCTAGCTAGGCATTTTCCCTCTTTGTAAGGGGGGGCTTTAACATGCTAGCTGGGCAATGAAAAAATGAATTGGGGAAAAAAAAAGGGGGGCAAGATGCTGTTCAGTATGTGTGTTCTACGCTGTAAGTACCAAAGGGACCATTTTATTCCTTAGTGCGATCGCTTGCCCAAGGTTGGCCGTGTAGTTGCCTCCAGCTGATCGACCTCAAGTGTCTTTTGCTTGGCTGAAACTTTTTCCTCCAGAAAGACATCTGGTTTTATTTGCAGATAGTGATGTGTTGAACAATCAAAAGTGGAGTGGTTAAGGGAAACCAGGGAACTGTACCTCGTTTCTGACCTGAATTTGTCTGCCTTTAATTTCTAGTGTTAGCTCTCGCTGTGCTTTTGCTCTTCCAGTTCAAACAACCCTTTGTAGCTGATATTTTCTCTTCATTCCAGGTATCTCCCAAGCCCGTGTATGACTTTACTTTTTCCCATACTCTAAGAAATTTCCCTACCAATTTGAAACGTGACTGCCCAAGCTGCCTGTGGTCCCGTAGTTCAGGCTCAGCTGTGCTGCCTGTAGAGGAAAGCTGCCTTCATCCCCCTAATCCCTGCCTCCTCATCCCCTGCCTTTATGCCACAGTCCAGCATCAGACGTTCACCCTGGGACAATCCCCATCATTTCAGATAACCTTTTCCTATGATACTCTTGCCCGTCCTGTACCTGCAATGGGTATTATTTGTCCCCAGATGTTTGACTTGATTTTTCTCATATATGCATTTTTAATATATATTTTATATATATACACAATATATTTTTGCCTTTGTAAATCAAAGCCATTGTTTCATCTATGAGGGAAGGTCAACTGTTGAACACCTCTGATTTTCCATAAATCAATTAGGGTGTTAATTAAATTAAGTATTTTCATTCAGCGCACTGCTTTTTGAGCCTGGTGCTTTAGCACATGCCATTTTTCTAGATTTTTTTCCCCCCATTTGCTGTAATTCCACCAAGATCTGTTGTTCTCTGACTTCTAGGCACTGATGGCCTGTGTCTGCTTCTATCAGAGTTTCTGTTCTACCTATGGTATTTAACAGTATCTTGTCACTAATTGACCAAAAAATACATTATCATTCTTGCATAATAAACAATTGAGGTGATCTGTTTTCGCAGATGCAGAAGGGTGATATTTACTGACCATTTTTTCTTCTTCTGTATCGTTACAAACTCTGCATCCAGCTAGTAATTATCTTTGGGGCTTTTTTTTTCTCCTTTCTTGATACAAGAAAGTCCTTCAGCTGCCAGCTATGTGTTTGGTCTGTCAGTGCTTGGCTTCTCACCCCAATTTTTTTGTGTTTCAAATCGTATGTTTGTATTTATATCGGTTGCCGTTTGCTGTGTGAGATGTATGTTTGTGCTTGTTCGCCGACACCTTTCTCAGCAGGGGAACTGCATCTCCCGTGGAGACCAGCAAATGAGCAGTGCTTCAAAGGAAACATTTTTCATTACATTTGTGTCCCCTTTTTTTTTTTTCTTTTTTTTTTTTTCTCCAGGTGGGCTGTGCTTTTGGTTTTGCTTGGTCTGGGAATTAAATCACCCAATGCTACTGCCTTTGGTTTTCTCACTGCTGCCATCACCAGAAGTGTTTGAATGCTGTGGCGGACGGTGCAGGTGGAGAGGACTGAGAAAAGCATTTAATTTTGTATTAATGGCTTTGTGCCCGTGTGGGAGTGTTTTGGAGGCACAGCATACTCACTTCAGAGAGCCTCTTTGTTTTCATGAGGGTCCTTTGCAGTAAGAACTAATCTTCCCCGTGTGCCATAATAGAAAATTAACTTTGGTTCCAGCGAGGTTTCACGTGGTTTTGTTTGGTTTTTTCTTGCCACAGGCTTGGAAAAGGGAAGTACGAGGATGGTGACGGCATCAACTTGAACGACATAGAGAAGGTCCTTCCAGTGTGGCAGGTAGGTGCTGAGGACATCACCTGTGCGGTGGAGAGCAGCAGCTCCCTGCCGTACCTTTCCTTAGGAAACCCTCCGCAGAAGTGGGAGAGCCTGCGCTGGGTGCGCTGAGCTGCGGTCTGTCGGGGTTTGTGACGGAGAATTGTGCTTGTGGTTTCAGCGAGCCTCGCTGTCAGCCTTAGTGCTGGGCAAGGGCAGTTACCACGTAGGCTTCGCTGGGAGGTGGGACGTTGAGGGCGGTGTATGTATATACACGTATATACACATACATGTACACAGGGCTCACATATTTTAGGAAAGGAGATTCTGAAAAGCATCAACCCTCCTGACAGCTGAAAATAAATTGCTGCCAGGAAGCCAGCAGTGACAGTGTGCTGACCCAGATGTTTCCCCTGTGGGGTGGGCGTATGTTTATATGGAGTGGTCATCCACTTGTCTGTTCCTTCAGCCTGTTCCTTCCCCAGATCTCTCTTTACGGCCCAGTTTCAGTTCAGACCCACAGTTAAAAAGTCCAGTTGAATAGGTCAGTTTGTCAGCATCATATAATTTTTCACTTTCCAGAGCCCTAGACCTCAAAGGAGCTGCGTGCCCTGGGGCTGGGCAAGTTTCTGAGGATGCTCAGCTTGTTTTTGCTGACGTCTCCTCTTTGCCTCCAGAGGGAAGGACGGAGACATCTCATGTGCTTGGTAGCGTTACCTTTTCAGTGCTGACCAAAGAGCTCGCCGGGCTTCTTTCTCATGCATCACGTGAGGAAAAGCTTTGCTCATCCTGTTAACTACGTGGTGATCTGCCTTACTATTTCTTTTGGGTGACCTAGCTGGCATTAAGTACGAACCAGGGGAAGGAGTGGAGCAGTGCTGCTGACTTTGGCAGGGAGGAGCACTGCCTGCAGCTGCTTTCTGCTCAGTCTCTTCCATGCTTGGTGTGTCTGGACTTTAGGTCACAGGGAGAAAACGTCAGGTTCAGCTGATACAGACCCCAGTAATTCCGCAAAATCAGGTTATTCTCCCTGGGGAATAATTGGAAATGAAGAATCAAACTATCTTTGGTGCTAGGAGCCGACTTTCTTCTCTAGGGTTTAACTTCTTTTCTAATCAACAGCTGTTAAATAAGCCAGGTCCTCCTGGTCTGGTTGTCATCTCATCCTGTCCTAACACCAGGTTGAGTCCATTGACTCCAGTGAATTAATCCCGATACATACCTTAATATCTAGCTTAATTGTTAGTGTGGCACCTCTAAGCTGGAAGACCTAGTGGGAATGCTGGATTGGATGTTTTGTTTGTGCTTCTGGGCAAACTCGTGCAATGCTGCGTGATTTTGGAGACGCGCTTACCTAGGCACGTACAGTCATATGTGTGTGGGAACTAAGAGCCGGCTAGTTCTGGGTGAGGATTTATCTTGTTCGGCGTTGACAAGTGAAATACTTGCAGACAGCTGGTTTAATCCTGACATATCATTGTTAACTGGATTTGAATGCAATCGTGCAACGCTGACAGTGATTTTGCTGGTCTTTATCCTTTGTTTTAAATGGCTCTGTGGAGCACAGTGCGTGGGGACATAAGGGAAAATATTCATGTGAGCCTATGGAAGAAAAATCTTTTACCTTCCATGGGGCTTTCTCACACTGCGGTTATGTTTGTGTCATTTCCTGAAGAAGGGGCTTTTCAGGTTGGAGATACATAAATTCTTGTTCTGTCTGTGTTTGAGTTCATGGGTTGCTTACAGCAGCCGCGCATGGACGGAGGAGCCAGTCCGAGCATCCTCCAGGGTGACTGAGCTGGTCCAAGCATCCTCCAGGGTGACTTAATTCCTGTAAGCATCCTCCAGCACGACTCAGGTGCAAATGTTTTGCTGCTGAATGTGTTTCAGCAGCTATAGCAGGGTTAAGAGCACCAAGTTTGAGAGAGGTAGCGAGTCTTACTTGCAGGCTGCTTTGGAAATTTGGGTTCCTTTGATGGTAAAGTATGACAGACACAGGACGTGAAGCTAGAACTAATTTTCAGTATACATCCAGGTCTGTATGTGTATCTCTACATAGAGATACGACACCCCTAATGGGTTAAGCAGAATATTCTGGATATCTGGATGTTAATATATATACATTAGTTTTGCTGCTGGAATCTATCAGTAGCATTTTAACAAAATATTGCAAGGAAAGCCTATGACTGTTTGGCAATTAAAAGGTGAAAAAATAAACAAAACCCAAAACAACCTCCCCCAAAACCCTCTTTCTTCATAGGTGTCTGAGGGAAAAATGCTTGTTGCCAGTCTTTTGTTTTGAAATTGGAGAATGTGTGCATCCTGCTCCTCCCAGATGCTGTTGGCTGTCTCTGCAGCATGTTGCGCTCTGCCATCTCGTGGACACGCACAGGCGGGCGAATCCGGCTCCGCTTCGGCGCTGGGCGCAATTTCTTTGCGACAACTGGTGTTTTGAAGCTTCCTCCTGCCCCATCTTTTCAACGCTCATCTGGGGTGCTTGTTTTTACTGGTAAATAGGCTTTGTTTTGAAAGCTTCATGGCTAGGAGCTCATGAGGTCATTGCTTTTGGCTCAGCAAAGTGAGCCATAACTTCTTCACCTCTCCTTACTCATGGGAGGCTGTAGTTGGATTTGGGCAGTAATTCACCTAAGTGCTGCCAAAAAGTGACTTTGGAAGAAAATAATCGTTTGAAGATAAGTATTCCCCATTCATAAGATCTGCTTTTTATTGCACGCCAGGGAATATCCGTTGTCTGCTGCGTTAGAGAGGCGCAGCTCAGATGCAGAACCAGTCTTCGTCATCCTCTCTGTTTTCACCTCAGCTGGTTTGTTGGAGGAGACCGTGTAACCATCTTGGCGTCATGAAGACGTCACAGGGTGGGCTGAGTCAGTGCATTTTGCTTTTGCTCCCTTTGGCAAATGCTTGGAAAGGCTTTCAGGCTTGGATGTGTCACAGCCGAATGCCCTGGTCCTAGATACGGTCTTTAGACTGCGAGCCCTTGGCAAACTCTACACTTAACCAGAGAAAACAACCCAACGGGTCATGTCCTACAAGATACCCCCCATCCTCCCTTGTGAAGCTGCTGTAGCTCACAAAGGATACAGGCAGCTGCATGTCACAGGGACGTGCTGTGAATGCTGCTAGACATGAGCAGAGAGTTTCGGGACACATCCCCAAGTAGTTTCTGGACTGGCATCTTGCAGTTTTTAGCTTTCAGTCTGCTGGACTTGTGCCTTCCAGATGGGCCTGCCCTCCTCCGAACTGTGCCTTCGCTGTACAGATGCTCCTTGTCTTGTGTTTTAGGAGGCAGAAATTATGTGGCACTTCTGAAAGGCATACTGGGCTTTACTGGTGCGATGGGGTAAACTTGGAAGACAGCACTGATATCATTTGGTTTGGTATCTTCATTGCCTTGTAGCTCATCTCCTTCCGTTTCCTTACTGATTTTTGACCCTTTTTGTCATGTGCTTGGAGTTACAATAAACTGATCGTTTCTCTTCTGGCTATGGTTGTTACCAGCTTCCTTGTTGGATGAGAAACAAGGGAGCAACTCCTTAGGTAAAACGCAGGCTCTGTAAGTTGCTCGTGTTCCTCTTAGCACCACTGTATTCATGACTTAGGAGCCTCAGGCTTAGAAGCACCAGGATTCCTGACCGTCCTGGGATCCCACCTGAAATTAGACACCTACCAGGTGTCACTACCCACTTTCCTTGGGACTCCTGCTCATGGACAAGTATTTTCAAGTCAGACCTTACAATTCAATGTGGAGATCGTGTGAGTAAAGGTGGGACCTGTGCGCTGGTCACTTGGGGTTCCTGCTGTAGGAGAGACATGGACACGTTGAGGCATGATTTGTTGCCTCTTCATGTAGCGGTCTAGAGAAGGTTGGATGTTTCCCATCTGAGGATACCCGTGTCCTTTGCCTGTCAGCTCTGCAAGGAGCCCAGAGGGACCAGCTCACACATGGACTTGTCCAGATACGGTAGATTCCTTAAGAGAGATGAAGCCAACCCCGGGTATCCAGGGGTGAAGGGTGGATCATGGGTGAGCATCTCCTCTGCTGCCACTCTGCATGTGAGGGGAGGAGGTCGGTGTCCAGCACTGGTGTGAGGGCTTGCTCCTGGGCCCTACAGATTGCTGACCCTTCCAGCGTGGTGGTGGCAAGGGGACAGGTCTGTCTGGAGTTCAGGGACGGCTCTTTGTTGGGGTGGTGCTTTCTATAACCATACGGAGTCCTCATCCCCTCCACGTCCTGTCTTGCCTGCTCTTTCTGCACTACAGGGTTGGGCAGTTGTCATTTTAGCCAGCTTGTTAGCCAGCCCAGCTCCCTCCTCTTTCAGAGCCTTGACCACAACAACGTGGCCCTCTCTCAGTAGGCTGTTCTGCACCAGTGGAGCTGGGGTGGACTCATCCCTCTGTCTGGCATCCCTTTCTCTGCCACTCACCAGGTCTAACCCTGACGTCCTTTACGTGCCCACCAAACACTTAGGAACAAGTTGGGGTGGCTCCCTAGGAGACCCAAACTAGGGGAATTTCTTCTCCCCACCCCTAGATCCTGCTGGACTCCATCCAGAGCGTGTAGGCATGGCATTGCTTTCAGAGAAGGTTTCAAGTCTAACAAGCCAGCTTCCCATATCCCAAGGGTCTTTCCAATACTGTAACTGCTAAAACCACTGTGGAAAGTCCCTGACAGAGAGCCAAGGTTTACTTGAGTATAGGTCACAACGAATTGGGAGTCGGATCTCCACTGCTGAGTAAAAAGCTTTTGTTTTGCTGTGACTTACGGTAAGATATGGTCTTTCTGTCATCTGTTTGGGGTTTTTTTTTTGCATTTAACCCAGCTGACAATGACCATCTCCTTGGGCTGAGGGGGCAAACTGCCATGGTCACCTGTAACCCCTTCAACATCACTCCCATGTTAGATTTAAGGCCACTGTTGACCGAGGCAGGCAGATGAGACCGTTGCCATCTCCAAAGCACTGGAGAGGAGAGGTCTGGACCAAGGCTGGCTTATCTTCCACACA